ATAGATTCTCAATTTTACTCTCTCTTATTACATCTTGAGCTCTATCCATGGATCATCTCATTCTTGTGATTTGAACTAACCTAATATATTTTTCCTTTTCATTTATCAATGTTACTATGTATGCAAATAATGATGATATTACCTCCAACTCTTAATATAAGAGCTAGTTTGACATTTAATTTGATCTAAATATAAGATCCCAATCTACTTTGTCTATCATATTTATCTATTTTTTAAAGTAATTTTTGGTGGTAGTTACACATGTTAAATTTCCATCAAATGATAGTTTTAATTAATATACATGATTAACATGAATATTCTAAGAAAGACAACACCTATATATTATAAATAACTAAATTAAATAATTTTTTTAATCTATTTAAATTAGTCAATTAGTTTTTATATTAGTGGTTGAGGTAGTATTTGCTAGGGAAGAAGAACTTTTCTTGGGAAGAACTTTGTTTTTTTTGGTTTTTGGCAATAACCGAAAAAGCCTTGATAGAGTAATTAGAATGTAGGCCTAAAATCCATATTGGCCCATTGACCCACACGTAATGGGGCTAAAACCCAGCTATATATATGCATTGCGATTGCGCCCAACTTCAATTGCCAATATAGGTTGAGTCCAAAAAAAAAAATTGCCAATATAGGTATCAGCTTTGTCGGAGTGATGAATACGAGGAAACCATAATCTCAATCCATTCATTTCTTCATAGTCCCCCCCCCCCAACTAATTTTTTCTTCTTCTCTTAAAAAACATAGCATATGCTCAGTCTGTCACTTTTTCCCTATCACACGACTTAATCAATAAATACATTCAGAACTTTCAAAAACAGTCAGTCTGGAGAGAGACACCTAAAAAGGACCCTAAAGATGATAAAGAAGAGGCATATAAATTTTGGTGCTCTTCATGAAACAGTGATTTGTCTGCTTTCACTTCACTTTGAGGAGGAGGAAAATCGCCATAACATTTTATTTTCTCTCATGGCATGCATGAAAGTACAGTATCAAGAAGCTCCTCACTCCACTAACTTAAGTATACATCAATCTCAATCACTGATCAAAAAAATATAAGGAAACAAAAGGGGAAAAAAGAAGAAGAAAGAAAGTAGAACATCTCAACGCTACAGGAGCTTCAAGTTACTGTCATATCAGTGCCTAATGTACAAGATGAAGTTACAACAGAATATATAGACATTTCAGAAACTATCTTCAAAAATCAATGAATCTATTCTATGTCCTCAAATCCACACGTTCTCAAAAATATCAGATACCATCGCACACTTCTATTATAACCAAATCATGCACATACCAGAATCAAATCCAGAAGTATAGAGCATTGCCTGTTCATATAAATGTTTTGATCATCAGCATGTTAATCAGAACAAGTTCAATTGCAGAACAAAAGGCAATAACACCAGAGGATGTGTAGGTGTCTTACCTCTTTAAGAGGATCCAAAAGCCCATCATCATCTTTAGGTGGAGATTTCTTTGCCTTTGAACTTATAACCTCTTCCCTCATTGATTTGAGCTGGCTGAGTATTTCCTTCAAGAGCCTAAGCTGCTCTTCACCATCTCCATCATGTGTAATTCTTGCCTTGCCTCTGAGCTCTCTCTCCCCCTTTCCTTCTCAAGCCTCTCGATTCTCTTCGAAAGAAGGTGAAACTCCGCTTCCCCATTGCATTCCACACTTGTTCCTTCCATTTTCCGGCCAAACATACAAGTGATCTTGTTGTTATTATTATTACTACTACCATTTGGACTGTGTGCTTTGGTTTCCGTGTTTATGCTTAGAAACCTCATTACCTTTCCTGAATCATATCTAGAAAGTGCTTCAGCCTTTTCGTCTAACACTTCTGGGTCTGGTTTTGTTAACCTGTTATCTGAATCTGTTGTCCTCAACCTCTCTAGTCTATTTTTCCCATGCTTATTGGCTCCATCACTATCCCCAGGTTGTGGAACTTCAAACACATCATGCACATTTACCGAACAAGAAGGATCTGTAATTGCTTCCCTATTTTGTTGCTTATTAACTTCATGATGAACTTGATGTGAATTAATGCTAGAGATTGTCTTACTCCTTGCTCTAAATGATGAACATGATCTGTGTCTCCTGCCTCTCAGGTTTGGACCTTTGATTCCTTCTATTTCCTTACAATCTGATATCTCTTTCACTTTCTCATCTAACTTTCTAATCTGTTCCCAGTATGCATCAAGGGTTTCATGCGTAGATTCTACAGGGTTATTGGCAAAATCCGTGGTTTGTTGGATGGGTTTTTTCTCAGTTTTCTCCTCCTCTATTGTTTGAATCATATCTGTATGATGATGTGGACTTGGTGATCTTTCTCTCTTCCTAGCAGCTCTGAAGTTGTTCTTATTTACAGGTAAAGGAGGCAATGAATGGAGCCTTCTCACTGATTCATTTTCTGGGTTCTGATGATGTTCATCAGTTCCTTGAACCGACTGATTGTTATTATTATTCTCCTCCTGAAGCTCAAACTCACTGAGATTAGGATCACATCCAAGGCTAACAAGCTTTCTCTTATAAGCCTGAATTTGATTCTCCAAAGAACCAATCTCCATGTCTTTCTGGAACATGAGCTCTTCGAAGATCTCCAGAGTTGTCTCTGCATGTTCTAGCTTCTCCTCTGCCATTCTCTCATATTGTCGGGCCTCCATCTTCACTGCTGCTTTCTCTCCTTGTAAACGCAGAATCATGTCAAGAGCTTCACTCGCTGCTGTTGCAGAGGCTTCTCTTTCTTCATCCAACTCTACGTACAGCTTCTGCAGAAGTTGTTGCTGAGCCCGCAGCGTCTCCTTCATCGCTATAATATCACTCCCCGCCATTGTTCCACTGCTTGAGCTAGCTTCTGCCATCCTCAGAATCAATCCAGCAGAAGCAATCTCTTATTCTGATAAAAAACACCACAGAGGAATTCTGCATCACTTTCATGCTGGAAAGCATGGTTTTGTTTCCATTTCACAATTTCAAAGAAACTTAAATGAAACGATACAATCCTTAAATGATCAACTTGATGTCAGCAGTCAGCTTCATGTTTCAGCAATCAACATTAAACAAAATTCAGCTAGGATACGATCAGAGAAGCAACAAGAAAGGTATTGTTTGATGATATTACATTGTCGATGGAATGTTTGGAGATAGGAAAGCAGTTCCATGAAAGAATTTGACGTCATCTGTATCAGAAACACATCATCGAGCAGTGAACATACCTGCAGGGGAATCAAATTGCTCGTTCAGCCCAGAGCAGAGGAGGGAGGTGATCATCTGGTGTGATCGCAAAGGGGTAAGATGATTCTTTACGCAGATGAAATTCATAGGGAAATACAGAGCTTGCACTTCAAGGAAGCCAGCCTCTTGCTGTTTGTTGCTCCGAAAGAAAAGACGAGAAAAAGCGAAAAGAAAATGATGGAAATAAGAGAACCAGCACAGGCTCATGCAATATGAAAAAAACAGCAATTCAAGAACCAAATTATACCTTCCGGATTAGCATGTATTCATCAAACCGGACAAACAAGGAAAGCCCCAAGGAGACAAATACAGAAAAAAAAAAAAAGGGCCACAGGGTGTCCCCGGAAATTAATTTCAAGGCCACGAGAGGAAACAGGATTGAAAAAACAAACTTAAATCATTATTTTTTCTGGGTTTTCTACAGAAAGAACAAACAATCAAACCCAGACAACATGATGATTGTGCATGAACGTTACTGGTCTCGCATGAAGCCTCAGAAAGAAAATCAGAAAGTGGTGTCGTTGTTGTTTTAGGATTCTTTAGAATTTGCATATTCTCAGCGGTGAATAATGATTTCCATGTAGGGCCCTTGTCTTCCTTTCCCCAAGTGCTCGTAGCCCTTCTTTTTTTTGTATGTTTTTTCCTGCCTTCTTTATTATTATTTTTCTTTTTTCAAAAGGCCGTTGGTCCGTTCGTGGCAATATTTCCAACGGCTATAACAGGCTCCGATGACGACCGAGTATCGCCGACCATATTTTAGAACGCTGCCCAAACATTTCAGTCAACCTCCGGCTCCACACATGAAGAAGCCTGCTCTGCAAGATACACGCCGAAACGTGGACATGGATAAGTTTTGGGCAAAATATACTTTTTAGTCTCTTTAAACTTCGCATAGAATTTATTTTAATTTCTTAATTTTTGTAAATATTTTTTTCCTCTAATATTAGCATTTTTTTCATTGCGAAAAATGTCATCGTTTAAATTTTATGTGAGAAAAATCACACAGTTCTATATAAACAACTGATTTATTAAAAAAATCTCATAACAAGTGAGTAATTTGTAACTAATACCGCCATTTCCTGCATCAGAATTTACCGTTACATGTTACTTACTCGTGTATTTTTTTTTGGTAATTAAATTGATTATATGAAGACGTAAAGTAGCTTTTTTTTTAATATTGATAAAATATTTTTAAATGCTATATATTACCTCTAATTTTTTTTAAAATAATAATAACACAGAAAAATAGTTTTACTAGAAGATTTAAAAAAAAATTAAAGGATGAAATGTAAACTCCTACCATAAATTTTAACTCAAATTGTTGATTAGCTTTTTAATTATATGTGCAAATAGTTTTTTAAAAGCCGAGGGGCTTCCAAGACACCTAGGATTCATTTGATGATTAATACTATGGCACACCCTGTAAAGAAAATTGCGGAGTTCTGCTCCCCCATTAATGCTTTACTTTTTTAAAACTTTTTTAAAAGAAGAGATTAAAAGATATTTAAGGACCTGTTTTGCTAAAAAAAAAAAAAGATATTTAAGGACCTTTAAAAGTATGGATTATGATTAAGGATTATATAAATTCTAGAGATTAAAAAATGACCTATTTTTGGTCAGTAATCAACTTTTGTTTGTTTACTAGTCACCTATATTATCAAACTTACCGGTTTAAGCAACCTCGTAATAGAAATATAAATGTTATTTAAATATATTTAAATTTAAATAATTGAAATTAAATTCATCAACATTACTAATTTACCAAATTCAAGAAAAAAAATTCTATGACATTTATATATAAATTTATTAAACATAAATAAATTTAAAAAATTAGCAAAAAATTAAAAACAAATCAACACGATTTTATAAGTTAAAAATGTAAAAATGATAAACTCGGTGAGTGAACTCATACATTCAATTGAGTTTATAGCTAGTACGAATTTAAGAACAAATCGACACGTTTTTGTGAGATAAAAATATAAAAACATTAAACTTAGAGTGTTAACTTATGATTTTGACAACAATACTAATTACTACTTGACTTCAATTTTTTAAGACTCATATTTTCAATTTTTTAATGCTTTTTTTTTTAGTATTAACCTGTAATACTTTCAACGGATTTTTTCGTATTGAAATGCTGACAATAAGTCTTGAAAAGATCAAAGTTAAGTACGGATTGATTGTTGAAAAACTTATCTAATCCAACCTGTTAGGAATTTCCAAGTGTCCTCCATCACCAACAATTTCTCTTCTTCGCTAAGTTTTTTCCCCTCCTCTCATTTCCCTTCATGCGTCCTTAGCGGTTAGTTCTCTGAAACTTAATTTAAAATAACTTATGAATAATTTTTAATTATAATTTATAAAATATAAGGAAGTAAATATATTATAAGAATTTTATCTGAACTAACTAGTAGAGCTTTAATTTGACTGTTGGAATAAATGCTAATGGAAAAAAATATTATAGGAGACAGAATTTGATTGAACAAAATGAGTTGTAACAAATGTGACCTAAGTTTTGTCCATATATACACATATAATATGTTGCTTTATTTTTTTTGCGCCGACATGATATGTTTCTTTATTTAGGAAGGGGCAAAAATTGGTTTAGGTTTCTGACAAAAAAAATTAAATATAAATAATATTTTCAAATTTTATTTAAATATTAATAGATTTCAATAAAATTAATATTTATAAGCCAAATTTTTGTTTTTATAAGTCAAATTGCGTGACTAATAAGTTAAATTTATAAATTAATATTTACAAATCAAATTTTGATATTTATAAGTTAAATTAGTAATTCCTTAAAACTTAAAATATATTTACAAATCAAATTTTAATATTAAATGAAATTCAAAAATATTTTTATTTGATTTTGTCATCTAAGACCTATAAATAATTTTCTTAAAATATTACATAGAACTTAAAATATAGTACTTCTTTTGGTCCCCAATAAAAGTCGTTTCAAGAGGAATAATTTAATTCAAAATATACGTTATTATGAGAGTAATTAATATTTATTTATCAATTTTTTTTGTTTAAATGTAATCCCTTGTATTTTTTCTCTCTCATTCACAACCTCATTTAATATGGGTAAAATGAAAAAAAAATTTCAATTTGACACAAATATTTAATGAGTTAACTACTATTTTTTATTTTTACATATTAGTTAGAGTGACTGTAATTATGGGTTTGGATGGAGTATATTAACATGTTATATATATTAATAATCTATAAGCGAAATTCATCAATTGCTGCTTTGAGCCTTTGACAGCTTACCAATAGCGATTAGGACAGTCGGAGTGGTGTCCCTTCGTTAATAAAGGAGCGAGGGGCCTCTCTCTTTTTTCTTTTTTTTAATGCAGGCCTCTTGTTATTTATTACTAGGTGTAACTCCTTTATGTAGAGCGTTCCAAACTCAATTAATTAAATGAAATAGGAAACAGACTTTTTTTTTGGTTAAGATACAATTTTGAAGTTAATCTTATTTCTCACTTCTAATTTGCTCCTAATCTTTTAGTTATGTAATTTTACCCATAATCTTATTTCTCAGACATAATTTTTTCTTTTGCACCCAAAAAAAATTAGGATCAATGCAATTACCCTTAAAGATATCAAAAGCAAAATTACATTTGAGAAATAAGATTAAGATTAAAATTGCACCTTAATTCTATTTTGCTAACAAAATAGGAAACACACTCTGATCTTAAATACTTATAAAACTTAGTTGAGAAATTTATATTTTTGTTACAAGTATAAAATTTCAATCTTCTCTCTTGTAACTTTTTATCAACCAAAGTGGGTTCTTCTTGTTTCTTTCTTATTTATTTATTTCTTCCTTCCTTCCTTCCTTTTGCATGTACTGTGAACTTTGAAGTTCTCTACTTCTACATGAGAACAACAAAATCTGGAAAATTGTTTGGTTGCTCCCATTCTGGTTCTTCAAATATTAATTACCTCCTACTGCCATTTCAGATTCTGTAGTTTCTGATTTTTTTTTTCTTGATTCAGGACCAGTTCCGACCCACATCTCAAAATCTTTGATTTAGGAGTTTTCTTAAAGGAGAGATTTGTTTGTTAGTTTTGTGTTGTAGCTTTATGATTTCTTCAGAAATTCCAAGATCCTACTCAAATTTTGGGATCTAGCTTTTGGTGACTCTCCATGCATCATGCTGGTTTAAGCCATGAAATTCCAAGGATTATGAATTTACGATAGTGACTAGTTTGGTTGCTGAGGTTGATGACTACTCAATATTCAGATTCCTCGCTGTGGTTGGTCCGCCATGAACGGATCATAAGAGTTACGAAGCAGCTCTCAATTAGAGTTTAGAGGAAGCCAGTACATGTAGCGGCAAAAGGAATTGGTTGTTCCAGTGGGATGATAATTCACTTCTTGAATTGAAAGATGGATTAGGTGATGATGATATTGACCCAGATTGCACCGCACCTTAACGTCCTAATCATTCAAGTATATATATTGGATTGTTTTCAAAAAAATGTTATCCATATTGATTTTTTCAAAAAAATGTTTGAAGATTTTTAAAATGTTTATTATTACTAAACAAATTAATTTCTTTTTTATTTAAATCCTGTTTATCAGTTGTTATGTTATACAATTAAATAATCAGGTATATTATATTACCTCTTTTGGTCATTAATATAAGAGT